GCTGATGGAGATGGGCCTCAGAGCCGAGTGCATGGCTGAGCCCCAGCCGGCGTGGCTGTGTAGACAGAGGATATTTTGCATGCGTCCATGCTCGCCCCTGAGCGCGCTGATCCCCGAGCAGCCGCGGGCCCGGGAGGGGGGGGAGAGGCGGCAAGGCGGGCCCCCCCCTATGCTGTATGCCCCCTCGCCTTCCAGGCCAGCAGCGTGAAGATGACCTCCACGCTGAATGACCCCCGGTCCACAAAGTCACCTGTCAATGCAGGGGGGGAGGCGGCGGCGGCGGCGGCGGGCGCGGCGAGCCGTCGGAGGAAGGGCGCGGGCGGGCCGCGCACGGCGCCGGCCGCGCCATCAAATCCAGACCGGGCTGCAGGCCGGCTCGACGGCCGCATGCGCGGCACAGGCGTGGCACATGCGAGGTGTGAGGCAGCTAGCTGTCCATGCAAGGGGGCGGCTGGTGCGTCTGGCCCTCACAACTTGTTGTTCCATGTATGCAGCCCACCATTGAAGAGGTATGGGTTGTCTGGTGCAGGCAGCCCGTTGAGTTCGAATATATTGAGCAGGTCGTAGTACTGCGGGGGTGCGTTGATTGTGCCGGGGGCGCGGCGCGGCGAGAAAGGATTGGGGTCGGGGTTGACGGGCGGCAGAGGCAGAGGGAGAGGCGTGCCGGGCGGCGCGGTGCACGTCCAGCCCCAGGGCGGTTGGAATCAAACGCAGATCTGAATTGAACGCAAATTCGGAGCAAACGCAGCAGGCACGCGCCCCCGAAATCATGAGGCCCGCCGGCGACGCGCGCCGCCCGCCCGGGGGTGAGCCAGACGCTGCACCACGTCGCCGCGCCGAGTTAGGGAGACCGCACCTGCCCGTGCACGTCCCCGCAGACTGTGATGTGCCCGTCGTCCGCCACCGGTATGTCCACCAAAGACGGCAGCTCCCGCAGCAGAGCACGCGCCTGGAGGCCCCGAGGCGGCGGGTTGCGGGGTGCGACACTTGGGGGTGAGACGCTTGGGGGGCGGGGCGGGCGTGGGGGTGAGGCTGAACCCGGCGTGGTATATGCTTTGCCCGACGCAAATCCGTTCTGCAGCCGCTGCAGCACGAGTCGGGGCAGCTGCCAAGCCGCATGCAAGGAGCGAGTTTTCCTTTGTAGACCCTGTGGACCGGATGCCCGTTGGTAGGAGCCCCAACCGTGTGCGAAAACAATCCCAAGCTCGCCTGCAGCAGTATCTGGAAGGCGAAACGCCGGTGGATGAGCCGCTGCTGCTTGAACTCGTCCATCATCGCCACCACAAAGTCGCGCGTGATGACGTAGCCCCCCTCGCCGTCCTCTGTGCGTGCGCGCGCGTGTGTGTGTGTGTGTGTGTGTGTGTGTGCGCGCGCGCGGTGTGTGTGTGTGTGTGTGTGTGTGCGTGCGTGTGTGTGTGTGTGCGTGCGCGTGAGCGCGCGCGCGGGGGCACGCACGCACTCGCACGTGCATGCTAGCGCTGAACGAGACAGAACACCTTCACTCGCGGGACCGCCCTTGGCAGGAGCCCGGAGCCTCCTCAAACCTCTCCCCTCCGCAGCCGCCCTCCACAACCCCTTAGTGCGCCCCCACCTCACCCTGCATGCGGGGCCCCTTGTAGCCGTCCTCCACCTCCATGGACGCCAGGTCAATCGTGTCGCTCACGTGCGTGATCTCAGACTCCTGGGAGAGCCCGAGGGGGAGGCGGGCGCACGCGGCGCGCGGCGCGGCGCGGCAAAACACAGTGGTGTTGCAGACCCGCCGGGGCGACGCTGCGCGAGTGCGAGGCGCGGCGGCAGGACCCCAGCCGTCCTGTGCTGGTTGGCCGTTCGGGGTCTTGAAATCAATGCGTCCCTTGGGAGTGCAGTTGCTGCCACAAGCAGCCGCGCGGCACCGGATGGGCCTGGAATCGCCGCCCCACTCACCGGCGTCGCGAGTGCTTCCTCAAAGCGGAGGCGCTTGACCGCCTTCTCGCACTCCGCCAGCTTGCGCCGCAGGTCCGGGTCCCGCGGGGCCCGCTTCGCCGCCTGCGGGCCGGGGCGCGGCGGCGGGGCCCGGCGGCGGGGCGGGAGCAAGGGGGCGTGGCTTCAGACGGCAGGCGGCGCCCCGCCCTGGCGTTCTCCCTGTGTCCGCGCGGCCCCTGGCCATCTGCTGCGGCTGGGTGTCTGCCGGCGCAGGCCGCCCTGAACTGGCCGTGATCCCGTCGGCAGCCCGCGGCGCCGCTGCGGCTCGACCTCCGCTGTTGCCTCGGCTGGCGTAACTCCGACATCCCGCTTTTGCGATTGCTCAGTCCACTGCAGTCCACCACAGTCCGTGCAGTCCTCCCTGGTCCACCACACTCCGTCCAGCCCATCCCAGTCCACCCCAGCTTTCACTCTCAGCCCAGGTCAACCCCAACCCACCCCAGTCAACGCAGGTCAACCCAGGCCAACCCAGTCCGTCCAGTCCGCCCCCGCGGACTGACCGTGCGCAGGTCCTTCAGGGCGTCCTTGAACTTGCCCAGAGCAAAGTTGGCGTCGCCGCGCCGGTAGTACGCCTGGCGGGTGGCGAAACCAGACGCGGTCACGGCAGCGTCGCCGTGGCCGGCCCGTGAGCGAGGGCGCTCTTCGGTCTGCCAGGGGCTTTGGCTCGCGCGTCCCCGCGGGTGGGAGCAGCTGCGTCCCAAGTGACTGGATTTGTGGCCGCGCCGCCGCGGGTTGCCGCCCGGCTTTGGCCCCGCACGGCGGCAGGTATAATGTCACGGGGAGTAACCGCACCGCACCTTGATGTAATCAGGGTCCACCTCAATGGCTTGGCCAGCGTCCGCAATGGCCGAGCCATACTCCTCCAGCCGGATGTGTGCGGCCGCGCGGTTGGCCCAATAGATCGCATTCTGCGGCCGCAGCTCGATGGCCTGGGTGTAGCCCACCACAGCCGCCGCATAGTGCTTATCTGGTGCCGGGAAGGGGGAGGGTTAGCGCGGCCGGGCGATCAGGTGTTTGGGGAGGGGGGGCAGCAGGACGAGCGCGACGCCGGCGCAAGTGCAGCGACGGCGGTGGTGGACCGCTTGGCTAAAAATCACAAGGCAAGGTGCGAGCCGCCCGCGATAACTGAAGTGTGTTACATATACTGTTAGGATTGATTAGCGCGGCAACGGATGCGATGAATCTTACACATGGCCGCGCCCGCCCATCCCATGTGATCTATCGCGCCCACCTTTGAAGTTTTTGTTCGCCTCAGCCTTATACTCCTCTGCCTGTCTGGTTGCTTCCTCTGTTGCGTCCACCATGGGTGCTGTGGGTCCTCGCTGGTCGATCCACTGGCCCTCTGCAGCACTTGCAGCGATCTCAAGCCCAGCGGGCTACCGGCGCGAAAATAAGCGCGATCAGATGGCCTCCTAATGCTCCCTGGACCTCCTTCCTTGGAAAAGCTGAACAAGTGTCGGTGGAGGCTTCAACAGCTGCAGGTAAGACGCTAAAACAGTTTGCAAGCGTAAGGACCGCTGAGAAAGCAGTCAAGTACAAAAGAGGTGGGCGTCGTGGCGTGGGACCTTGCTAGCCTGCATCCGGGAGGTGCACCTGGGCACCGGGTGATTGCAGTGACGGAGCGCGGGGGTGAGCGGGGCGCGCGCAGTACTGTACATCAGTGCAAGCCCAGACCGCTTGCCAACAGCATTTACTGCGGAATTCCATGGCTTACTAGGCGTTCAAAGCTTGGGTGCAATACGGCAGGTCAACCCTGCCGAGCATGGCCTGCAAGCCAAGCAGACATGGCCGTCGCGCACTTGACTGCTTGCGGCTGGACTCTGGTGAGAGACCAACGTGCCCTAAAAGTCGCCTGCATTTTTCATTTGCCGAGCTGCCCCACAATCAAAGCTGCCTTAGTGGTGGTTCTGCCGACCCTGTGCTCGCCGGTCAACCTGGTCTTGGCGTCTTGCACCTGCTACCTCATGCGCAATGCCCAAGCGTATATCTTCAGGTCGTGGCAGCCATCTGTGGTGCTCCGCAGGCCGTCGCAGCGCAAGCACACATGGCTGTGCCATCCATCTTGACTCGTGGGTCAGCAGGCGGCGTCATGTCGGCTGCAATGCTCGGCCAGGCGTGTGACAGCGGCACTGCTTGTGCCACAAGGTCAGTGCCCTTAGCTGAAAGAGTTGAGGGGTTACACGCAGGGGGTGCAGCACAGATGCGGTGTGATCACGGGTGCATGAGAAAGGGCGTGGCGCAAAATCAGGGGACATGCAGCGCGCGCCGGCGGTTTGGCATATAGGATGGGTGGTAACAAGTAATGTGATCACCTTTCGCAGTCAGGGCCACACGCGGCCAAGGAAGGGCTGAAAGAGTGGCGCGTGCACATAGGCCGTGTCCCAGGGCAGGGGCCACAAGGGCAGTTGGCAGTTGTTATTGCAGCTGGCTACAAAACATCGTGTCAGCCAAGCATGAGAGGGGCCAAAGACACATGGCGAGGACAAGGCAAGATATGGTTTATGGTTTATAAGGGCACCGCAAGAAACAAGGGACGGGACGGAACATGCAACGGAGGGGGATTGCCTGCACGCTTGCAGCTAGCAGGCCACCGCCGCCTCACCCCCAACCACCCCCGCCACGGATGCCGCCGCCTGGTCAGGGGGGCTGCAGCGCAACGAGAGGCGGGCAAGCTTAACAGCAAACGCAGCGCCAACGTGCCCCTTGGGGGCAGCGGCGGCGGCGCAGGCGGCGGCGGCGGCGGCCTCCGCGTCGAAGGGCTTGGCCGTGGGGGTGGCGTGCGCCTTGGTACGGACCATGGGCCAGGAGGCAGGGGTGCCCCTGCTGCTGCGGGCGTGCGGCAGGGCGGCCCTAAACCTGGCGCCGAGATTCTTCCTCCACCTGGGCGCGGCGGCAGCGCCGGCCTCCGAACAAGGCTTGGGGGCCGTCGGCGCGGGCTCGGGGGCGAGGGATGCGACAATGCTGACGTGCACTGCGGCGTCAGTGCCAGCGGCGGGCACCGGGCTGCTGGCAGCGTCGGGGCCGGCCGCAGACGCTGTGAGTGCGGCAGCAGCGGGCACACAGGCGGTTGTGGCACCAGCCTTGCCGCGGCGGCCCTTCTTCGGCGAGGCCTTGCTCTTGGGGGTCAGCACGGCGGGCGCCTTGGCGGCGGTGGCGCGCCACGATGCGGTCACAGAGTCGCGTGCGGCGCCGCACTCAGCATTAACAGCGGCGAGTGTGGATGCAAACCAGTTGGTCTTTTTGGGAACCTTGGGGCCAGAGGCGTCGTCACCAGGGGCGGCGGAGACTGCCTTGGCGGCGATGCTCCGGTTGGAGGTGGAAGAGATGCTGGCAGCCCGTGGCGAGGGCACGGGCTCCTTGGAGGCATGGGCAGTCTTGGTGACGGCGGCGGCGACGACGACTGTCGCAGCGCGCCACTTCGCCTTGAAGCCACCGACCGCGCGCACAAACCAGCCGGCTTTGGGGGCCGTGGGTGCGTCAGCGGTGGCGGCGGTGTGGGAGGAGGGGTCGTCGGGGCTGCCGCGACCGGTGTCGGCCGGCCCGCGCTCAGGGTCTCCGGGGCCGGGCGCCAGGGGCTCGGCGGCCGTGGGAGTGGTGTCAGATGTGATGGCGCCGGTGGCGGTCTTGATGGTTGTGGCGCGTTTGATGGCGTCGGCGAGGGCCGCGAGGTGCAGAAATGCCTGAGGTGGGTGTTTGCACACGTAGACAGGTGAGTGGGGGCACAGCGGGGACGGCGTAGCTTTGGGTCAGCAGTCAGCGACGCCAGCACTCTCTTCAGTGCTTGGAATGAACCCGGGGAGCCCGCATGCTTCTGTCATGTGCTCATCGCACCCACCATCATATTTCTTATGGACGCCATGGAAGGAGTTGTGCTGGGGGTGAGGTGGCGGAGGGGAACGGAAGCAGCGTCGGTGCGACGTGCCTGCAGAGAGAGAAGCGGAGGTGGGACGAGCGCGGCAGCGTCAGCGCTGGCTGAGCGCGAAGCGGGGATCCCTTTCATTGCACTGCTGGCAGACAGTATGCACGCAGCACCAGGCTGACAAATACTGTAGGCCGGGCACCACGAGCGGTTTGCGTCATGGATGCTTTGCGGGGCCCTTACCTGTTTCTTGGGTTTAGGGTCACTTCTATGACTTTATTGGATAGCACTGTGGAGGCTTGGAAGCGGTTGAGGGTCTTGGCGGGCCGGGGTGCTGTCAGCTCCGAGCTGGACTGCTTTCAAAGTTGAACACGTTGGCACTGGAGGTCGACTGGTTTGAAGTACACTTTTATGATTGTATATGATCGTGCAGCACGTGTAGTACTCTGCCGATGGGCGTCCACCTGAACCTCCGGCTTCCAAGCCAGAGCCGAAATGCAGCCCCTGCCAGCTTCTCACCGGGCAGCTCCTGCGTCGGGCGATCCGGCACCAATGCTACCCTAGAAGCGCCTCCTTCCTAATCTCATGTGCATCGTGCCAGAACACTGGCTTTGGGAGCCTGCAGACAGCATGTTCCAACCGGTGCTAACGCGGACTGCACGTGGGCACGATACAGTCCACGGCGCTCTTCATGAGAGCACCGATTTTCGCAGCGCTCTCGCTCAATCGGCCGAGAAATAAAAACTGGCATTACTGGGTGCCTGAGACGCTGGCACGGGAGGCAAAAAGCGAGGGGTGGGCGGGGGGGTTGCATCGTGCGCCGTATGACGGATGATAGTCGTACACAACTTGTTGCAGCAAGGCACCACACATAAGAGTTGCACAGTTGCGGCCAAGTACAGGAACGCGTGGAGCACATGCGAGACTACAGCATGCACGTTTCACCATAAAGGAAGGTGAGGACTTGCCTGCAGAAGCAGACACGCCTTGTGAATGCTGACAGCTGCTGATGAGCAAGCAGGCGGCATCGCAAGATACTTGTCATTGACAAGGCAGCGGCAACCACCACAACTTCATCACCTGTAACATCACTAACAAGTCCGTCCTTTGGTGCCCCCTGCATGGTCAGCACTCAGCCCCAGTGCCCCACTAGGCGGCGTAACCATCAGTCTCTTCACCCTGAGCAATGCTATGTTTTTTATTTCGATTAAATGTTTCGTGTTACGCAGCTCATGAGCATTTTGGCCGGTCTATCAAAACCCTTTGACCGCTCACCGCGATACAGACACCTGATGGGGGTTGCGGCAGGGCGTAATTTTCATAATGCACGTAAATTTTACGTCATCTTACTCTTACACTGGCCCGTCTCGGGGCGAAGAGACAGGTAACTACGTAGCAACACGGTCGAGCTGATCACGATGGAGAAGAGCTACTCTACTATGCATGGGGAGGAAGGAGTATCCAGGTTTCCGAACACCAATACAGCGCAGCCGCAGCTTGAGCAGCAGCAGCAGCAGCAGCAGCAGCAGCAGCAGCAGCAGCAGCAGCAGCAGCAGCAGCAGCAGCAGCAGCAGCAGCAGCAGCAGCATCTGGGCAAGCGCGATAAGCACATGCGACGCGTGGCGGTAAGCAGCCACCTGGAGCATCAGCAGCTGGTGGTCGGGCTGCCAGAGGAGGGGCGGCTGCGCGCGGCGCGCAACGAGGACTTCCACAAGTTCAGGTGCGCCCCGAAGCGTCCAGGCAGAGTGGCGCGGCGGTGACGCCCCGTGCAGTGCGTGAGTGGTTTGAATCCTGCATTCCATGCTGCGACCACCCGGTTGCAAACAACTCGCGTGCGGCCGATCGCAGTTGCTGGTCTGCACCGGCGATCGCCGAATGCTGAAGTGGCACCAGGCAACACAGGCCGGTCCCGCCACCTGCGGGTGCATTTTTCCCACCATCCACCGTCCGCTTCCTGTCCGCCTTGTATGTGCGTGGCCGTGCCCCTGGCGCCCCTTGACTGCGCGCCCTGGCACTCTGTGGTAAGGGACGACAAGAAGCGGATCCATGTGACCGAAGAGGTGTTCAGCATGCTGAGTCAGACGGCGGCGGAGCTCAACCGCGCCCAGAGGGACTTTGGGAAGGGCAAGCTTGTGGACGGGTGGGCATCAGGGTGTCACGATACTTTGTGCCAATGATGGAGTGTAAGCCGAAATGTGGTGAAAAAGACAAGTGTGTGTGTGTGTGTGTGTGTGTGTGCATGCGCGTGTGTGTATGTGGGCGCGCGCGCACACACCTGGACACGTGTGCGCGCGGTGAATGCGGTGTAGACGCATGCGTGCTGCAAGCTGCGTTTATTTTGGTGTGTATGCGGTTGCATCTGTGGGCTGGGCTGCTCCCAACTGCTGACCCTTGGCTCTATCTTGGGCCATCATTGCTCTCGCATCACCGTCCGCAGCAAGAGCTCTCAGCAAGCCATCAACCAGACGGGCCGCCTCCAGCAGCAGCGAGCGCTCGAGCGGCAGCACACACAGGCCGCGGGCCAGCCGCAGCCGCCATCGCCGCGGCTGCAGCTGCGCCGGCGGCGGTCGTCCGAGGAGGGCAGCAGGGCGGGCCAGCAGCAGCAGCAGCAGCAGCAGCAGCAGCAGCAGCAGCAGGGCGCGCCAGCACGATTCCAGGGGCCGAGATGGGGCAATTTCAAGCTCATGGGTCGCCTGCGCGCGGGCGCTGCCCCACTTGGGGTTGAGGGGTCCTTCACATTGCCCAGGGGAGCGCCGCGCTTGCCGGCGGCCGCACCGCAGGCCGGGCAGCAGCTGCAGCAGGAGGCTCGCCAGAGGTCGGGCGATGGAGGGCCGTTCCCGGCACTGCAGCTGCAGCTGTCGAGCTGCGGCGGCGGCGGCGGGGGCGGTCCGGGCTTTGACGAGATGGCCGAGAGCCCGCGGGAGGGGTGGCGGCAGCTGTGGGTGCGGCAGCGGGACAGGAAGAGGGGGAGCCGGCAGTACCTGCGCAACTCGGCGGCCTCGATGATACAGGTGCGGGTTGACGGCGGTGTGAACTGCACTTGCTGAGGTGGCAAGAACCCGGCCCCAGCGCGAGCTGCAGCTGCGTACTCGTGGCATGAGGCATTGTGGGGATGTAGCAAGACAGCCTCGGGTATCACGTCGTTTCCTGCCATGGTTGCTGTTGAGATACGGAGGAAGTGGGCAAGTGGACTTTCTTCATCCTGTCGCGCACCACAGGCCACCTGGCTGCTGAAGCGCCACCAGCGGCAGAAACGCCTGGCAGCAGAGCGTGCCGAGGCCGCAGCCGCGGCCAGCGCCGGCGCGACCGCCATGGAGGCGGCGATCGCAGAGGCGAGGGCGGCCCATGTGTCAGATGCAGCGCACATGGAGGCGCTTGTGGCGGAGGGCGCGGGCCAGCTGGCGGATCGCATGGGCCTGCGGGAGGCGGAGGGGCAGCTGAGCGAGCCGCAGCTGGCCAGTGATACCACCGGCGACTTCTGGGGCGGCAGTCTGTCAGAGCATACGGGCAGCCTGCCGGCCCTGCAGGCGGCCGGCGACAGCGAAGCCAGCGGCATCGGGCCCGCTGATTTATCCTCACAGGGCGCGTCGGCGGCGGCGCCGCGCGGCCGCCCTGGCGCCGCGCCGCTGTTGAGCATCCCCAGCAAAAGCGCTGCCGGCCACGAGCCGCCCCCGTGCCCGATCGTGGGGGCACCATTGTCCGAGCGGGCCATGGGGAGGGGCGGGCCTGGTGGCGTCCAGCTGGCGTCCCGCGGCGCCTGTGAGCAGCAGGAGCAGCAGCAGCAGCAGCAGCAGCCGGAGGCGGCCTTGGGTGAAAACCTGAATGTCGCGGCCCTGGGGTGGGAGGCTGAGCGGCAGCGGGCGCGCGAGCAGAAGGCTGCAGACACAGAGCAGGCGGCCCCGAGGGGTGAGTTGTGTGCTGCGTTGGTTGCGTGGCTGCGGGCATCCGCGGCTGCCGCTGGGACGGACGCGCCTGGTGGTGCTGCCAGCTCTTGCTTGGCGGCCTCGACGCCGATGTCTTCGAGCAGGCTGACACAAAAATGTTGATCATCTCCTCTGCTCGAGCCCCCGCTCGCCCCATCGCTTCGCAGGCAAGCCGCACCGCTCCAGCCGCGCCGGCTATGCGGGGGGCCCGCAGGCCCACCTCCAGGCGCTCGGGGCAGCGGCGCCCGGCCAGCAGGATTTGGAGGCCGATCCGATGGACGCGGCGCTCGAGCTGCGCGGAGGCGGCCGCGGGCGGGAGCAGGGGTGGCAGCACGTGCGACAGGGGCGGCGGCCGGCGGCGCTGCAGGCGCCCGGGAGCTGGGGGGAGGAGCAGCAGCACCAGCACCAGCAGCAGCAGCAGCAGCAGCAGCAGCAGCAGCAGGTGCCGGAGGTTCCAAGGTCTCCACTGGCGGTCATGGCGCAGCACGGCATGGGCCTGCTGCGTCAGATCGGGTCGTTCGTGCTTGGTCGGGCGCCAGGCGGCGGCAGCGCAAATGGCGGAAACGACGGCGGGGCGGCAACACCTGCGGAGGCCGGCGCCCCCGTGCCAGGCGGGGCAGAGCAGCCGTTGTCATCTGAGTGGCAAGAGTTGCCAGAGGGCCCAGGCGCACCAACAGGGACTGCTCTCTGGGCGGCGTCTCCTCCTGGCCAGCCCGGCGAGTCGAATTATGGTCGCGGCGCGGGCGCGCTCACGCCCACCAACCGCCGCTCCCGAGAGGAGGCAGAAGCCATGTCCGGCGCGCTGGCGCTGCTCACCAGCGGCGGCGGCGCCTCGGCGGCGCCCAGCCGGGGCCCCCTGGCGGCCGCGGGGCCCCGCGGCCGCGCGGCGGTCGCCGCGGCGGCGGCGCTCCCGCGGGGATCCACGGAGCAGAACGGGGCGAGGTGGGGCGGCGGGCGCAGTCAATCATTGGCGCCTCTGTCGCCGGGAAGGGTGGAAGCCTTGAACCCGGGTTCGACTCTTCTTGCTGTCGGCGGCGGTGTTGAAGGTGGCGGCGCCAGCTGTGGCGGGGAAGGTACTGACCTCGAGCAATTGCTGGTGCAGCAGCAGCAGCAGCAGCAGCAGCAGCAGCAGCAGCAGCAGCAGCAGCAGCAGCAGCAGCAGCAGCAGCAGCAGCAGCAGCAGCAACAGCCACACGCTGCAGGCGCCCGCCACTCACAGCAGCACCAGGGGCGGCGCATCACCCGCGGCAGGGCCGGCCTGCAGCCGGGCATTGCGGGATCACCAGCCCCGCCGCACGCCCCGCGGCTGCAGCAACGCGCAACCGGCGCAGAGGCAGCACAACAGCAGCCGGCGTGGGCGCCGCCATTGCCTGTGTCGGGCGAAGGAGACGAGTGGGAATTGGTCACAGGGCAGTCGCGCGGACTGCGCACCGCCGCCGGAGCCCGGCCCGCATCTGCCCGCGCTACAGGGATTGTCGGCTGTGGGGCAACAGGTGCGGCAGGGGCCAGCGGCAGCGGCAGCGGCGCTGGCACTGGCACTGGCAGCAGCAGCGGCAGCACGGATGGTGTCGACACGCGCCCGCAGCTGCCGGGCTCGGCCGACGGCGCCCGGATGGGAGTGCGCGGGACTGCCGGGGTTGACGGATGGCACGGCAGCGGCGAGGCTGTGGCGGCCGCGGACGGGCCTGCTTTCCAGGCTGCGGCCGGACTGCAGTCGCCGGAGCACCGGGGGATGCGGCCGGCAGCCCCACCCCCTGGTGTGCGGCGGTCGCTCGAGAGCGCTGTGGCGAGCTCAGGTGAAGCAGGGCGGCTCATCGACCCGTTTAGGCGCTACACGGACTCTGCTGCCCTCACGCACCACCAGACGCCGCGCCCACCGCTCGCCGCGCTCGGCGGGACGTTCGGCGTCCATGGGGCCGGCGCGCGGAACAGCGGCTGGCCTGAGAGGGCGGGGGGCGGGGGCTGCGGCGCGGGGGCTGCGGCATTCTTGGGGAATGCTGGTGTCGCCGTGGCTGATGGGGGCGACCCACAGATTGCAACCGCCTTGATACAACGGCAGCAGCAGCAGCAGCAGCAGCAGCAGCAGCAGCAGCAGCAGCAGCAGCAGCAGCGGCAGCAGCAGCAAGGCCTGGACCCGGGAGCCAGCAGCGGTGATGGCGGTGTGAACACGTGGATGCAGAGGCAGGCGGCGCCTCAATGCCAAGGGAGTGCGAATGCTGCGGCAGCAGCAGCGCCCTCGGAGGCCCAAGGCACATCCACGCTCGACATGGGCGGCGCCCTTGGCGGCGGCGCCCGCGAGCGGCGCGCGACAGCAGGCGCCCTGGGGGTTGTCAGGAGGGGGATCGCCCTGCTGTCTGGCGCGGGGCCGGCCGCGCCGCCGCCGCCGCCGGCCCTGCCGGGCGCGCTGCGCATCGGCGGCGCCGTCCACCCAGGCCAGATGCCCTCGTCCCTGGCTGCAGTGATGGCGGGCGCCGGCCTGTCGGCGGCGCCCGGCGGCGGCGGCGCCCGGCGCCCGGCCGCGGCGGCGCAGCCGGCGTGGGGAAGGCGGCAGGCGCAGCGGCAGGCGGGGCCGCAGCAGGGCCAGGCGGGTGGGCCGGGCGGCGCCGCTGTCGGAGGGGTGCCTCCGCTGGCAGTCAGCGGATGCGGGGACGGCCGCCTCCCGGCCATTGTCGGCCGCGCCTCCCCGTCATAGGCCCAACAAACCTGGTTTTGACAATGGGTAAATTGCACCCCTTGACTGATTGACCCCCTTGCCGATGTGGCATTTCGGATTTCCCTGGGTGGGTGGTCTGTCATATGTGCAACCTGGTATTGTTAAGTGCTGCCTGTTGTGTATTGCGGATAGCATCGTGCTGACCAAAGGAAGCGGTGGGCTCGTTACAACCGGCTTGAGGGCGAGCCGCATATTGGATGCCGCGATCTCTCATACCTCACTGCGAAGAGAAGACGGCGCCGAGGCGCGCGCAGCCGCACACGCGGCCCCGGCACGCAAAACCCACGTCACGAAAACAGAGAGGAGATGGGACCAGCGCTCGCACGAATGCCTCAAAAAACAAAGAATGTCCTTTCGGACGCATGACCAGTAACAGCTCTAAACTACATGAGGCGGCGCAGGCATGGGCGCCACCCTCGGGGCGGGCGCGGCGGAGCCCCGGCCTGCCCGCCAGGAAGCGGAGCCCCCCCGAGG